GAGTAAGACATAGGTGAATCGCGTGTATTAAGCAATGTTGCTTTAATGGACTTTAAGGAGTTCGATAACGAGAATAAGTGATAGACGGCATTTAGGTTCTTGCAAACTACTCTGAGCGGATTAAACAGCTCAAAATTATATTTACTCCGACCAAGATAAAGTGCCTAGAGAAGCGGTTAGGGACATGAAAGCTTATTTCACCAAGTAATAAAGGCGAGTCAATAGCACCATTTCTTACTTTGATTACAAAGGAAACGCCAAGAACAAACCTACGTTTCTCAAGAGACGGTAAGGACAGCAGAAGAAAATTCTAAGGGCAAACAGCAAAAATTGCTTTTGAACAGATTCAATTAAATCTGCATAGCACCTATCTGAAGGAGACCACACAACAGAGGCATACTCGAGTGTGGGTCTAACCAACCACATGTACAGCCTTTTCGTAATGTAGGGATCATCAAGCTCTTTGGACCACCTTTTTATAAAACCAAGCGCGAACCTAGCTTTGCTTATCGAGAGTTCACTATGCAAGCTAAAACGTAACCTATCGTCAAATAGAAAGCCTAAATGTGCGAACGAATCGACGTCCTCCGACTTATGCGAATCTATGAAATACTGAATGACTTTCTTCTTGAGAAAGAAAGCTTCTTACATTTGCTCATACTTGATTTCAGAACGTTCACTGAGCACCATACAACAAAATTATCCAAGCCACCATGAAGCTGATGTGATTGTGATTCAATAGAGAAGGAGGAAAACAGTTTCACATCATCCGCTTACATTAAGATCTGGCTGGAATTAACCACCGATGGAAGATCGTTAACGTATAAATTAAATAAAATGGGACCTAAGTGACTTCCTTGAGGTACGCCAGATATAAGGGGGAATTCATCCGAGGTGATAAAGTTGAACAAAACCCTGAAGGATCTCTTGTGCAGATAAGAGCTTATCCCTTTTACCAAATAGAAAGGGAAGTCAGACGCTATTTAAAGATAAGTAAGTTATGGTTAACCATATCAAATGCTTTGCTTAAATCAGTGTAAATAACCTCTGTGCGAGAGCCAATAGAAAAAGCCTTGAAAACATGACAAGTAAACTCTGTCAAGTTAGTGACTGTAGATCGCCCTTTCCGAAAGCCGTGCTGCTGCGGAGAAATATACGAATTAATGGCAAAGGCCAAATGGTGAGTCACAATTCGCTCGAACAGCTTGGACAAGACACTCAACTTGGCTGTGCCTCTGTAGTTCTCAACAAATTGTCTACTTCCACTCTTGTGGATAGGAATAAGCAAATTACTCTTCCAACACGAAGGGAAAACACCTAAGTTCAAAGAAAGGTTAAAAATCTTTGAGATCACACCACATAACTCGACAGCGCAAGATTTAAGTACACATGATGGAACTCCATCAGGTCCTGGCGCACAACAATATTTTAGAGAACTCAACCCTTTAAAAACGTCATCTTCCGAAATTACCAAGAGACAGAGTTAGTTATAGGATATGGGTAGTCTTCTGATAAATCGAAGTTAGCAATCAAAAAGTTTCGTCGGAAATACTCAGCAAATAGATTTGAGATTTCAAAATCATCCGAGGAATCACAGCCATTAAAAGAAACATGAGAGGAATGTGTGGAAATTTTTCTTTTAGACTTAACAAATTTAAAAAAGTATTTAAGATTAGTAAACAGAGAGGATTTAATGAATTGAAGGTATTTGCAGTAATAATGGTTGTTGAGGGAGTTAAATCCATGCCTCGCCACCGAGTAAGCGAAATAGTCGAGCGCAGAGCCACTTTTCGAATATTTTTTGACTGGCGTGTTTTTTCTAGACTCGTAATATTTAATTGTCTTATTAAACCAGGGGGGACACCTGCATCGAGGTCAGCACTGCTTAATCGGAGCAGATGCAGCAATGGCTAGATTTAATGTATAGTAGAACGATGACAATAAGCTTTCAATACTTCCGGTTGAGAAATCAAGCCTCATCTGTGGAAGACGATGTTTTAGCAATACAATATTGATTTCATGAAAATCATAACATTTATTTATAAAAGTTTGATTTCGCATATTAAGGCAGTTCAACGAACCATCATTCATATGATGAAAGGAAATGCACATTGATGGATGATAAGGGTCCTCATGTAAACTAAAATGTGGGCAACGATTTACTTTAATCTCAGGAAAATTGGCAAAGCAGAGATCAAGCAGTCTACCATTACAATTAGAGGTACGATTATATTAAACAAAATTATGATCAAACAATTCATTAAAGAACACAGCAGCCCTATCAGACGTTGAAGTAGGAATCAAACAGCCAGAATTATCACTGTTACATCAAGTGACTTGAGGCAAGTTGAAATCACCCAATGTAATGACCAAATCGTTAAGTCTAGATCGCTTGGCCACTTCCCAAATAAGAGCAGCGTGTTTATTGTAAATGGAGATATCAGAATTTGGTGGAATATAGGAGCAGGTTACAAATAGCTGTTTATTAGGCATTATCGCACGAATGGCAATAAATTCAACGTCAGGAGAAGTGGGAAATTCAATTAAATTGGACGGGACTGACGCGGATATGGCAATTAATACACCACCAACAATGCGATTCACTCGATCCTTTCTGAAGACTTGGAAAGAATTGTGAAAAAGTTCCGACGAATGAAGATCGGGTTTTAGTCAAGTTTCAGTGAAGGCCAAACAGAAATATTCCGTGCTCACTGAATTTAAAAAAATGGAACGAATTTTTGAATTAAGGCCCCTACCATTTTGATAAATGAGAGATAATGGGCCTGAAGAAACATTCAGTTTTTTTAAGGCGACAAGACTATTGATTTGGTATTACGGCGACGATCACGAGGGATAAATTCCTTAATCAAGGATCCTACTGGCCTACTGGTTTGTTTAACAACATACCACTGTTTTCAGTCGGAGCTAGTATTTTAAAAGAGGAGATTGCCCTAGATTGAGAAGGAGCCATTTTAAAAATGCTAACGCGCTTTAAGTTGACTGATGGGACTTGAGGATGATTTATTTTTCTCTTTATTATTTTTAGGCGATGGCGCTTGATTAGAGTGAGTGGCGGCCCTGGGCGGAGATACCCTTGCCAATTCAGCGTAGCTTAAAACGGAAGGACTTGCCGGTTTGTTTGTAACTACTTTGTTACCAACCGACTCAACAATATCGGGAATATTAACGTTCATTTTAGAGTTAGAGAGAGCGGTAACTTGTACCAACGAATCAGATTTAGAGGAACTCAGAGGTGACGTCCCACACGCTACGCTACGAGTAGTTATTTTTCTAGCTTGGGTAGAAAATGAGTGCTCAATAAAACGGCACTCACCAAACCTAGACTTAATTACCTCAAACTTCTCCCACAAGGAGCCGAGATTTCTACGCAATTCCGAGAAACCATTTCGCGTCTCCGTGAAAAGTTTGTAAAAATCATTGTCCCGCTGCCTACAGTCAGGACATGACCATCTTAAGCCTTTGGAAGGGTCAGCGACTGCGTCAGCAGTACGGACGAGCATGACGGCACACTTTGCATGGCCAAAGCGCTCGCAGAGCCAAGAAGAAACGAATCTATCCGATTCCGGGCCTGTTTTTGCACGACATGGTGTATATAAGCACTCCATGTCAAGCCAGCGAACAGAAAGAAGTGAATTATTAGGACAAAGAAGAAACAAAATTCAAAAGAATCCACTACTCTAAGTTTATCTACAAATTTGAGTAATTTAATAAAACTTCCCCGTTACGTTGTGACTTGTAACAAGAGAGCAAAAGAAGAAGAGAAAGCAAAACCAAACCGGAAGCACGAAAAAGAGAGAATACAAATCAGAAAAATTCTCTCTTAAATTTTCTCTTAAATTACACGTAAAATCTACACTACTGAAGCAACGGTAATCAAGCCAAGAGAAAAGCTATTGACACCAAAGGAAAAAAATAAAAAAAGAAAAAAACTCAAAAGAAGAAACTAGAAAAGACTCGAAAGAGATTTAATATTGCGATCACAAGTGCTAATCGCAAGAACCAAAATGAAGATCACAAAAATTTTAATGTAATTAATGTAATTCTTACACTTTACAGGTTCAAAGCTTTTATACTTTTACATAAACCCAGTTTTAAACGCGTATAAAACGAAAACAAAAAAATTTTAGCAATAAAACTAACAAAAGCGTACGATCTCGCGGGCGTCAGTTGTCAGGCAGTTGAACTTCACCTTTTCTTCACTTTTTTTTATTGAATTTCAGCTTATTAATTTATATTTGGCCTGGAATTTGTAATTTTACATTTTCCCTAGTTCTAAATTTAACTCTCCACTTCTCTTTCTTCTTCTGCTTCTTCTTCTGTTCAAACCAATAAACAAAAATTAACTAATTATTTACGTAAATGAGCAGAAGACAATAGTTACAAATAGATCTATATACGTACGAGCGTAAACGTAAATAAAAAACCCCTCTGATTGCGGTTTGGATAACATTTTTTTTAATATATTGTTTGGACCGTGCCATTGTTTGTGGAATGAAATAAATACGTAATTGTATGGCATACAGAATTGTTAAAACAATGAACCCCTGGAATGAACCTAAATTTGGTTAAATGGCTTTGCAAATAAGGACTATTGCGTCTTTAGTGTAAATAAACCACATCTGATGTTCCTAAACGACTTTCACTTATACAAAAAATAGCTTTTGGGCGTGGTTTTTGAGCTGAAAACCTAATTTTCCTAAATGAAAATGGCATTGCAGTTACCAATGGAGTAGGCTAGACAAACATCGCAACCGATCTTTCGTGGCATAAATTAAATGATTTCGACTTAGACGAAGTGACAAAAATTGAGTTCCGTAGCCGAATTTTTAGAAAAGGCCAAAGGCGGTCATTTAAATAAAATAATTTTTAAATGAAAATGGAGTTATATATATTATTTTATTTTTTCCAATAAAAACTTAGTCCTGAGCGATGAGGTTGATATATTCTTAATTAATGACTGTACAAAGAAAAGTACTCACCGGCATTGTTTTGAGTTTCATTCATGGCTGAAATCCATTCAACAGCCGTTTGTGGCATAAAATTTGGTGCTGCTGATGGTGACGCATTGATATTTCCTGTTACACAGTATTCCTCCAATTTGTGCCCTTAAGAAATGAAGCGAAGGAAATTTTTGAAAACATAAATTAAGACATGTTTAAAAATTATTCCTAAAAGAAGTCTAGAAATATTTGCAAAAATGTGAAAATTGAGATCTTTGAATACAATATTGCGATGAAAATGTTAGACCAATATTTAAGTTGATTTGCGCGGGAAGATCGAATATTTGAAATATTGTTGGTGTAAATTGATAGCACTGCACTATGCATATGTGTCAAATTTTACATCAGAAATTTCTCAGCTGCGCTTCAATTTGTATGACACAAAAAGTATTTTTACCGATTTTTACAGGGTGTGTATTGTGGAGCAAAGAAGTTGCATTAAATTTCGTTTGCGAAGGTAAATGAGATGAAACCTTGACCTACACTTATGACCCGGAAACAAGCGATCGAGCGAACAAATATCGGGCCAAAGCGGAGCCAAGGAGAACAAAAATGTCCAAATTCGCTCAAAAATCAAGACGAGGTTAATAGTTTTTTTGATTATCGTGGTGTTGCGCACTGGAAATTCCTTCTCCGTGCCAAACTGTTAAGAAAGAATATTCATGTAAACATTTGTTAGTTACAAAGTGAGTTTTAACTAATATAAGTATCATAAAGCCAAACATTACAGATCATAAATTTAACCTTAAACATAAACATTCTAAAAATTTTAAACATAAAAACATTATACTTTAACTGATCACTAACCAGGAAGAATAAGACATTTTATTGCAGAGTGTTCAAAGGCTTAATAATCTCCAACTTTATGATACATGCACTCATACCAAGCTCGATCAGTTTTCATTACATGATTTTCACAAGCTTCGGATAGGATCGTTGTTACCATAGTTTCTTCTGCAGCAATTTAAATTAGACATTTAAGTACTTTTCGATATCAAGCATTCGTGTTCAGATATGCTATCCGGAAGCTTATAAACGAAAGCCAAATTTGACATAACATACCTACTCTCAGGAGCCCGCAAGGTTAAACGATTCCTATACGTAGAACACGGATGTTAGGATCCCAGGGCGAACATCGCAAACAAAACAGTAGAAACTGTTTTTATAGGGACTCAATCTGCTTACGATAAAGATCGTATTGTGGATGCCAGATGGAGTCGAACAATATTGCAGAATACCCGTCACTAGCGATGTATACAGCAACCGTCTTTGTAAGGATCGCGAAACTCTTTGGGCCAACACTTGATAAAGTTCAATGTTCTGTTTGGCTTATTGACCGTAATATTTATATGTGCTATGACCGTAATATTTATATCTGTCAAAAAAGAACTACGAAATCATTAATTGAAGTTGGCTTGGCAGTTTGCACATTATTTATTTTAGGCGATGTATTGCAAGCATTGATTGATTAGTAAAAACATATGCTTACACTTGTTAATACTTAGCGACACTAAAATAGTAAAGCACCATTTATAAAAATTGTCCAGATAAGCTTAACATCATCAGCATAAACCGAAACCCGAGAGTATTTTATACCATTTGGTAAGTCATTTATATACAAGCCAAACAAAACAGGCTCGAGATGACTATTTGGACGAACCGCAAAGTCTTTGAAAGATATATTATTAAACAACACTTGTTGACTCCGTATAAGGCGATCGATCAAAAGTCCATCCAAAATCGCTGTATATTACATCTGCTTGTTTACGACCGTAGAAATCTCCGTTAATTAATGTACCGAGTTCGAGTAAGTTGGAAGTCGTTCATCTATTTTTCATAAATCCTTGCGGGCAGCTCGAGGTAGTTGGGACAATTTGTCGTCACATCTTATCTGTTACCATTTTTATACTCATCACTAAAGGATGAAGGTTATACATTTTGTCAACACGTTTGCAACGCCCAGAAAGAAACATCGGAGGCTCCACAAAGCATATATATTCTTGATCAGTATCAAATCTTAAATCGATTTAGCCGTGACTGCCTCTCCATCTGTCCATCTGTGTAATGTCTGTTGTAAATATTCTCCTGGCGAAAAAAATGAATCTATCTACTTCAAATTTGCAAAAGTATTACAAGTTCTTGCAGACACGCTGGTATGGAAAATGGACCAAATGGGTCGAAGGACACGTTCACAGCACCGCGTAAACTGAAAACACTCCTGTTTTTCAAAAGCCAAAAGAAATTATGTTTTGGTCATTACTCGAACGCATATGCTTTGAGCGATGCTGTAATACCTGGACAAACATGGAAAACATTGAGCACGCCTACCCAATATTATAGACTTAAACGCTTTTTTTAATACCTTTACAACACGCAGAAACAAGTTTCATTAACTCCATTAAGTATACAAATTCTTGGCCAATTTTAAATTTGCACCTAAACATGTTCGCCAGTTCGTCTGTTCATCTGTCAGCTTGTGTGTGTAGTATTTCTGGCAAACTCTCTCCCGTTAGCAAAAATAAAGATATCGCTTACAAATTTGCAAAAGAATTTGGAATTGGTCTAAACTTTTCAAAGGACACGCCTATAACGTCCACATGCCTACACGGCTAAGACTTTTGTTTTGAAAATAGAAGAAATCAGTTGTGCCCACTCCATATTATAGAGCACGATAATTTTGTTGTTCTAATTCTTTTGTCTCTTTTAGGATAATGGTGATGGATACAAAAAATGCAATCCGAATTGAAATTTCTTACTTGTTTCAAATAGTTTTATAATGGAGTTGCATAATAATGGAGTTGAATAGATTTGATGGAGTGAATTGAAAAACGCAATACTAAATGATTTTTCCCACTTTAACGGGAGGTACCCAGAAATAACCGACAGATAATATAGTTTAGTTAATTGTGCATATAAGTTCTCGGCAAAGTTTCTCAGCACATAAGTAGGCACATAATCGGGACCTGTTTTAAATTTGTTAGCAACGAGTGACAACTTACCGTAAACAATAAGAGTGCCAATCATATAAAATGTTATATTATCATTATACGGATATCTATTTTGCGTGTCTTGATTTATATTCGTAACATTTTTACAAATGTTCACCGATTGAAAAAAATAGCAAATAAATTATCAATTTCGCTTTTATCTACAGACACAGCCTTGTTTAACTTCATGGAGCGAAGATAAGTATCAACTTTCTTTGTTGCCTGACCAAAGTCATAGAAAGATTTAGGATCCTTTCTTAAATTATTTTTATTATACCCATTACCGAAGGTTAAGTGGCATACTGATTTTGTCAAAACTTTTGCAACCCCCCGAACGAAGTTTCTAAAACTCCACAAAGTATATATATTTGACCAGTTTCAAGTCTAGAATGTACCTATGCATGTTCGTCCGTCCATCCGTTCGTTCACCCATAGTGTAGTACATGTGGTAAATATTTTCCCTTTAGCAGAACTGGAGATGTCGCATACAAACTTTCAAAAGAAATTGGGGGTTTCCTAGACTTTTCAAGGCCACGCCTACAATGCCCACAAGTCTAACACAAATTTTTATTTTGAAAATAGAAAAAATCAGCCGCGCTATTCTATGTTATAGAACATGAAAATCTTTCCCTTTCATTGGTTTCGTGTTCTTTAGGATAACAGCGGTGGGTATAAAAGATTCAGTCTCGACCAAACATAATTTGCTTACTCATTAATATTTCACGATGAAAATAGTTCCGTAGTACTCGTTTAACATACATTTTGGTTTTTTGTATTCTGCCTCATATAAGGATTCTGATGAAAATTAAGTTTATGAAAAAAATTGTACTTTTTATATTTTACATCGAACTTAAACGGACCGCGAGGGTCTTCTTTTCGGAACACAGTACGGAGTTTACGTTTTCAGCCCTCTTTCATATAAGGGGTGTTATACAAAGTACGCCTTTAAAAAGAAAAGGCATAATTTTTGGCATTTCATCACAGAAATAATAGCGTTGTAATAGAGTTTTATTAAGCGGAGTGGCATAGAATATTTAATGGTCCGATTTGCCCGACTTCATTGCTGTATGATAAAAACTATTATCGACATAGCAATTTGACAAAAAAGTCAAGTACACATCGGTTCTGCGGACATACAGGCTGTCATGGAAAACAAACTTTTAAAGAGCAACAAAGTCGAATTTTTAATTCTTTATGACATAAAAAGGTGAAAAATAATAGATCCTTTACCAACAAAATTTACTTTACTTTGAGTGTTCTTGCATGTAAGAGCTTTCATAAAAAATATGCTATGGGAACAAAGAAACAATATATAATTTTTGGACTGTTGTCAGAGAAATAAACGAATAATTGTGTTAAACGATGTGATGCCACGTATTTAAGGATCGGCAGCGCCTAACTATAATGTTTTACTTGCTTTCTCAGTGCAATGCACGTACATTTCATAAAATAAATATACCTTCGATAAATATGTGTGTGTGTTTTTTTTAGAGTCAAAAATCAAAATGGAAATTAATATTTGCTAATGTATTGAATTTGGAACAAAATATTTCGAAAAGAGAGTTTTAAGCACGACTAGCCGATTTGCAACAAGGAAACGTTTTCTCAAAAAATCGCTTAAACTTGGTTCTCCACATGTCTGTTTTATCACCAAATTAACGTTACTTCAAAATCTTTATGTTACATTTGCATTGAGTGTACAATTTTCATCACTTTGTAAAAATCATGCCTTCATTTGTTTTATAGGCCTCACTTAATTTTTTCCTCTCTTGTTTTTAATTCTTATAAAAATTCGACGTTTTGTTAATATGAATGCCATTTTAATGTTTCCACATTATACTGGTTAAGTATTTAATAGAATTGCGCGTCCAAGATCCTATATAGGATATTTGTAAAATGATAAGGCTAATATTGCAAAACATTTTATTTTCAACTCTCTTATTTTCTTATTTACTTATTATCCACTTAAATATGCAACTCTCCTTTATTCTTGGAATGTCGCACGAGTATTTTCCATTGAAGGAAGTCTTCTTCTGTGAGCTCCTTCATTACTTGTGAGGCTTTTTTTCCACGGACTGAACCGTCTTGAAATGGTGCCTCCCAATGCATGGATTGGCGTTTAGTTTTTGGATTTTAAATAAAACCGTAACCCTCATCGAGGATTGGTCTTTTTCAGTTGCCTTTAAAGTTTCAGTTTTCACGTGTTTTTTTCGATTGTGAAAATTTTAGAATATTCGCAGGCACTTTTTGCATGTTAAACGTATTAACTGCAGTTTCTCTTAGGCATTGTTTACCAATTCCTACAATTTCAGCAGTCGCACAAACAGATATTCGACCTGTTTCTTCAGTTTCTTTCAATATTTTTCGCTTGTTTAACGGAGAAGAGAATCACAGACGTGTATGATCTTCACCATCTTGGAAACGATTCAATCGTTCAGAAGTGCGTACACGTGATAAACGTTCACGGCCATATCAATATAATTTAATAAAAGGTAAGTTGCAGCCCCCTTTTTTACAGTTTCATAAGGAATTCCAAATGTTATACAATACAAACGAAGGCCAGGACAATAATCAAAAAATTAATGTACATTGCTGTCTGCCGTACAACTTTGGTTCGAACCTAGCTCTTCTGTAGAACTATCGATATTGTTACTTTATATTCATGTTTCGCATGCTATAGAAACTCTTTTTATCGTTTGAACACAACAGTACAAGATTGAATAAGTAAATATAATCTTAGACTTATGCAAATAATTATGGTCCGTGTATGTAAATCTGAGATGCTCATATAACATCGAATTAGTGAATTTTCATTTAGTTTTGTAATCAAATTTCCTAAATAATTTCGTAGGTACACATTCAGGTCAAACCGAATATAACCTATCTTTCGTTTACACAGATCGGGATTATCTAGATAGAATTACCTTTAGGTTTGTTGTCGGTATGTGAAGTATAAGAATTATTAGGAGATTGTTGCTGTTGCTGCGCTAGAATCTGTAAGTGTGTTAATTGTGAATGAGTGTGATCACTAGTAATGGTTGAATTGCTTTGTATCTCCGTTACAGCATGTTGATGCGTATGCTGCTGCTCTTGTATATGACTATTGGCGCTGCCCTCTTGTCGCTGATGATGATGTAAGTAGAGATGACTGTGCTGTGGCGAATGGAGGTTGTGATGGTGATGGAGTTGGTGCGATGACGTCACCGCGGTGGCATGATGCGTCAAAGAGTTAGGTAGAGTAGAAAGTCCATGACTGACCTGTGATGTTTGCATTTCCATTGTGAGCATATTATAAAATCATGCGTACAATCAGGCAACTAATATCTCAATCTATTAAATAATTAATTGGCAACTCAGCATCTGTAAAGAAATGACATAAAAGATATCATAACATGGAAGCTAACCGAGCAATATCATTACTGACGACGTGAGGAGCACTTTCTCTTCGTTATTTTTACCAACGACGAAAACATTTATTTCATTATATTATTATTGTTGTTGGTATAATTTTATTATTATTATACATATAATTATTAATTTTTTTATTTATCTCTTAGTCTCCCTCTCTCTGTCTGTCTGTCTGCGTATGCGTGTGTGTGTGTGTGTGGCTGTGGGTGTGTTTATTTATGGGTTTTATTTTATGGGTTCTCTTGTGGAAAGGTGTGTACGTTGCTATGCCTGTTTCCTTTTATTCTTGGGAAGGAGTAACCCATAAAGGTACAAATAATCTGCAGTATTATGTCACCTAGTACTTGTTATATATGTTACAATTCAAATTTTCCTCTTTCTTCTAATACCTGTTCGCAAGATTTGCGAAATTCTATATAATAACAGAATCTGCTGCTTGACATCCCTATTTATGTATTTATTAGTATGGGCATATGGTAAAGCCAGCTTTTTCGTCTACCTACAGTTAGTCTCAGATTTTTGTACGTTTACTATGTAGCACTGCTAATATGCGTTGGGGCATCGCTGATATCTGTGTTGCTGTAGTTCTTGATTGTGTGAAGCATATGTGTTCGTCTTTCGTAAGACTTCATGGTATATGAAAAGAATCACTAAGTACTACAACAACTTAAGTATTGACTCCTTTTAACATAGCTTGCACATTTAAAGTTTACTATAGTAGTCAAATACCGCAAGAAAAAAAAAAATGAAAAGAATGCTGGTACAAATAGGAAATAAGAAAATGCATGAATTCAGTTTTAGTAAAATGTCAGAAGTCGTTGAGTAATAAAGTATAAGAAAATAAAATTTTGAGTTGTTTACGTTCGTAATCAGATGCAGAAGAAACCATGCCGAAAAGTTAAAATATTAAGCAATTATTAAAGAAAGGTATGTAGAGAAGTATGATTGAATTAAAGAAACCTTAAACAAATGTACTATATATACTGAAAAACATTGTAACAAAAAATTGAATGAAATATCTTGATAATAAAGTATATGAACTTCATTTATATGTCTTAAGATATTTCATTTATAAGTTTTGTTTACGATGACGTTTTGACACCATTTTTTTGATGAAGCAAAGCAATAAAAAGGGGAAAAAGAGGACTACAAGTGAAAAGTGAAACATATCAATAGTAGGCAAAAGGACATGTTTTTTCTTTTCAACTGTTGTGAAACTGATTAATTTCAATTTTTGTACAAAATATATAGCAGAGGTAAATGAAATATATTTTTTAATAATCGATCTAAAATGGAAAACTAAAACAAACAATTAAGAAAATTTTATTCGGTTGTGGTCGGCTCTTTTATACCCATCACCGTGATCATGAAAATAAAGAAAATTAATAAATTTTCATAGTCTATAATTGGTACCGTTGATTTTTTCTTTTTTTAGTATAAAAGAGGAAATTTATATAGTGTGCATATGGTACTTTATGAGTAGCTAGCAAAAAACACGAAAAACAAAGATGTTCACTGTTTTCTTATGTGTGAACGTTGTAGGCATATTCTTTGAAAAGCTTGGGTAATTTTCAAATTCTTTTGCAAGTTTGCAGACGATATCTTTATTTTTGCAAAGGGGAGAATTTTTATCTCAGATACTACAAAATTGCGTTTTGAAAAAAAAAGATTAAATTTTGATACTCTATAATATTGGATGGGAGTCGGCAATATTTTCCATTTATGTTCAGGTGCCACAGCATAGGCCAAGCGTTCAAGTTTTTGTACATTCAGCTCTATAGTTTATGAGTAATGATCAAAAACATTTTTTTTTTTTGGTTTTTGAAAAACAGAGGTGTTCTCAGCTTACGCATTGCAAGAACTTCCAATGCTTCTGCCAAATGGGTTTTCAAAGCTTCTTTCCGGGCGTTGGAAACGCTTCGGCAAATTGAATGTACCCTCATCCTTTGCTGATGGGTATAATAAACTAGAAGAGATAAATAAAAAACAACCGAAACAAGCGTGCACGCAAATTATGTTATGGGCAATGGTGCGCATTTGTTTCGAAATTTCATGCAAATGGATGCAACAAAAGAAAGAGCACAAGCGAGTGCTAAAGAACGTTAATGAGTAGTACAACAAGTAATGAAGTAGGTGAAAACACAGTTGAACGTGACGGTAAGTGGAAAGATACTAAGACAAACAAAGAGAGCATTGATAAACGTGCTGCAAGAGAGTTTCAACGAGAAAACAGACAGTCAAACCAAATTGTCAAGCAGCCGGCGATGGAAAAGTCAGGGGATACAATGCACGGTAGCCACTTCAACGAATCCCGTAAGCTCAGAGGGAAGTAGATCTACGTGGTGAAATGGGCCATACGGCTGCAGTACGTATTGAAATGAACGTAACATAATAGTAAGCGAAAAAATGTAGCGACGAATAGGTAAGAAATTTATTTTGTATGCTTGATAGAGATAATGTTAGATATAAAATTGGAGTAGAAACATTAATTCATATAGGCCAATAAGTTTTATGTGGCGAAAATTTCTGCCACCACGTGTGAATAAAACTCTGAATTTTGGGTTTTCTCGAACAATTAGAGGTCGACCGAATACTTAAGTAAAGTGTAATCTGAGATTTTATAGGACAATGAATATGTAGAAATGAGAACTTTTTTTTGTTCCTAACCTTTTGGGCATGCCTTATGTGTATAGTGTATAATATTGGTGATTACGTGGCAGTGGAGAATTTCGTAAATGAACCGAGCCGGTTTTTAAAGTGATCATTCTATAGGTTGCGGCTCCATATAACATTCTTAAACTTTTTCCTAATGATCGATACATGCTGAGTTTCAAGACGGTTCAAATAAGTCACATTCCATCTACAGGATCCAATTTAAAGTAAAATTGTGACGAATTTAGTTCAGGGAAGTTAACTGTGGTAATTACGTATGGAAGGGAAGAGAGAGAAGGTAGAGGAATGCCAGTACAGATAGACAATGTGAAAATAAATAAATTTTAGTTTAGTACAAATGTCAGAGAGCATTGACTCATAAAAAGCAAGAAAACCATAGTTTACGATGTTCCATATAATTTGCTACTATTCATTTGAATATTTAAAAATATTTGATCTGCTCCTTTTTCATTTTTTTTAACTTGCTGTGTTGTTTATGCGCCCTACCTCCTCTGTGTTAAAATATTTACATATCTCGTTTTTTAGCGTTGCTTCTGACACCTTTCCTTCTCATTCGCCGGAAACCTCGACATTTTATGGCACACGTCGATTCAATTGCAATATTGAAAAGATTTGGGGCAAATGGCGAAGTCATTGTGAAAACTGCATCGTATTTTAAGACAATTGTTCTGGATATCTGGCCTTGAAATGTGAAAAAAGCGTTGGCGTGATTTTATCACACAAGAAGACGCCTATGTTGGTAAATAAAGAAGTTTGAAAAGATAATCTTTTCTTGTCGCGTCACAGGAATTGTTGAACGTGTATACATACTATGTGTTTTCATAAATACTTCAGCTGCTGGTTGCGAGTTAATTGATAGTTACCCACGCCAAATCCCAAGCTGAATATTCCTGAATATGTCAGAAAATGACGTAGTACAAGTTTTGAGACCTCTATAATGTAGTTGTGCGCATGGGTCTGAAGGCATTTCATCATGTATACTTAAATCATGCTCTGACGAGCGATGTGGCGTTATTTCGACGATTTTCAATCTTTGAAATCGGGTGTTTTCCCTTCGTGTTGGAAAACTAGTTTCCTTATGTCACCTCACAAAGGCATCTTGGCGGGAGCTACCGAGGCATTGCCAAATTGCTATCAAATCTTATATTTTTCCATTTCACCAAGGTTTTCGAAAATGAAAATCAATTGTTATGAACCTTTTAGAGATTATAAGCCATTTCTTCAATGCTTTTTCTAGTGGCTCTCGCACATTGATATTAATGAATTGACTTATTTAACCATAAATTATTGACCTTCAAACTTCGGCGTCTGGCTTCCCTTCACACTAAGTGAAATGGATAAACACTTATCTTCATGACAGGTCGTTCAAGGTTCTGTTTAACTTCACTGCTTCACATGAACTCCCGTGACGTCTGGTGTCCCTCAAGGCAGACACTTAGAATCCTTTTTATTCATTCTATACAATAACGATCGTTCTGACTCTGCTCAGCAATGGAATTGTGGAATAAATAAATTCGTAGCGGATTTTGTAAGGTCTTTTCCTTGTTTAGCCGCAGATGTTATCTTGACAACTTCAAATAATTTTATATAATACGTATTTGTACACACAGAGGTCAATCACTAGCTTTTGTCTGTCGTTACAGAGATGTCAATTAAACCCTCGAGCACTTTTGAACTTTAAGACAGCACATTTTCTTGTCGATTATGGGAATGGGTGGGTCTTAACTCTTAAACGCATACTGCTGCCAATTGTTTACATTTCAGTTCCAAGTAATTTTATCTAAAACCTTAAGGTGTATGTTTCTGAATGCAAGGTGATAACGTTAGACTTTATAATGCGTGAAAGAAAAATATTGATAGTTTTTGGCGGTTAAGTTATATCTTTTTTCGACATTTGAATATGGCGGATAGTAAAGTTCAATCTGTTATTTTGAGAGATATATATTGGCTATTTTCGAGTTTACTATAAAGGAGTAATTTATCTAACTGAAAAGAACTATTTCTTATTTATTGCCATGTAATCTGTCATTGTTTAATGTCGCATATGAAAATTTTAATGAGTATATCCCAGATTTTTGAAAAATAACGTATGTGTCCAAATGTCTTCATTGTGCGATTATCACATAACTAATGCTACGAAAGTCCCGCATTTGATCATTTGAGGTTTCATGAAAGCTAATCGATTTTCTAAGACGCCATATTCTCAAAAAATGGAAAACCAAATATACATTCATTAAATGGAAATGTCTCTGAAAATGAAGAGCATATGGGTGATCTAA